ACACGGTAGTGTCTCGCGCCAAGTGAACGCGAAGCGCGAGACCGCACCGTGTATCTTTACGCGAGTCGATGAGTTCCGTGTACCCGAGATTATCGGATCTCACAATAAATGGCTGAATTTATCAACTTTTAAATAGTCTTAATTTAGTTTTATTGTTTAAATTATATTATAAATATATTTTTGGCGCTGCTAGACCTCAAAATATACAATAATAAGATGGTTATTAAAAAATTCCGCGAATATGAAAAATAATAAGAAATTAATAGAAAAAGAAATAAGGACTCGTTATATAAAAATATAAGGCAATTTTGTTGAGATTTAAAAAACATTAATGATTTCCTTGGCAAATTCGAATTAACTTTTTTAATTGAAATGTCAAAATATCAATAATTTTTAAATTATATCGCTTAAAGAAGAAAATTATGTAAACTAAATTTTAAGCAACCGCAAATGTGTGTGTGTGTGGATAAGAAAACTATGCTCTTCGATCAATTTTAAATGGACTTTATACCAATAAAGATTTTAAGATTAAAGAGAGGATAAAAAATTACATAATGCAAAAAATTGAAAAAATTGCAATAAATAAGTTTCTTTAATAAAAAAAAAAGATCTATTTCAGATTGATTCGAATGTATCATTAAAAGAATATCGATGATTTTTCAGTATTATTATCGTATTCGAATGAAATCATAAATTTCTCGCTAAAATACGCAAAAGGAATTTTGAAAGTTTACGAAAACTTAGACCACACTGCTTGGCATCTTAACAATCCGGCCAGTGTCGCGCGCAATATTCGTTTACCTTATGTATGAGAAATTTGGCAAGCGGACGGATCTTAATCCGATGGCCCATTTTACGTTTGCCCTTGTCGCCGGACTAAATCAGGGTATAAAAGTAGAATAATGCCGACGAAATAAACAAGAGTATAACACGTGTGCCAAAAGTCACACAAGTGAAGCAAAGATCCTTGAAAGGCGCGAGAGCAGACAATACGAAATAGCTAATTCAGCAATAAAAACTCTCGGAAGGCCGCCAAATAATTCCACGACGGTGTCGTGTGACGCTTTTGCGATCAAGAGGAGAAAAAAGGGTGACATTATATGTAGATGCGTCGAAGGACAAGCATGTTCCACTTTTCAACATTTAAAGTCGTGTGATAAGCAGAAATGATATGAACAATAAAGAGTTTCATTTCTGATGTGTTTCAATTTCTCAAAATTTGATTAAACGTATTTCTCACGATATATTTTTATAAGAATTATCGGTATTTGTATTGTATTCTGCTATTGTATATTACAGGTGTATAAGTACAAATATATCGCGAACAATCGCATTTATGCGCAAATGTGTAATCAGCTGATTGTTATATGGTATACCGCGTGTACGAGGCATATCGCGAGCCAGATGATATTTATTGGTCTCTGTACCATATAAGATGGATATGTATTCGAATGCTGGGCGCGGCGTCATTAATTCACTTTCGACATATTCGATGTCATAATCTAAACTGCGTCGGCACATCGGACCGGATGTTATGCCAGAATTCCAGCATCAGCAGGAGACGGCGGCGGCGCAAATATCCCCGAGTCGATTATTTATAGCTCTTCGACTGATATTGGAATCTCACTATGGCATTATTAAATTAATAATCGCACGTGGATAGTCGGTACGTTCGACCAAGAACGAGAGGAGAGAAATCGGAGGGACGAGATATCATGGACGATGGAGCTTTAACCCTTAGATCCTTTCTTTGTTGAAGACAGTTAGTCGCTAAAGGGAAGCTAAAGAAGGTAAACTTAACTAATTATGGATGCACACACATAAACAAGAAGACGCTGCAAAGTAAATGCGGACGGTCGTATTGTCTACTGCATCCGAAGTATGCGATGTTATTTCGTTTGTGGGATGACAAGCAAGGTAGTATACACGATGTTTGTCCTGCTCTTAAAGTGGCACGATGGTTGGTTTAGTTCCGTATCCCGGGTTCGTCGCACGCGCGAGTTTCCTCCTTCCATCTCTTGTGAGCGCTTCAACTAATTCTCACAAAAGATATTTCCTTGACAAAAACATGCAGACACTAACGGTTACCATTTTCTTCTCCGGTATATACGAGGTGATACTGGTACGATTTTTATTACTCTTGTAAGTTTCTTACTGCGAAAGTGCGCAGCGTTAGTCTTCGCTCTTATCCTCTCTTTCTCTTCGATGTCTATCTTTGTTTCTTTCACTTTTCTCATGCCTCTTCCTCCTTCAGCCGTGTTTAAATTCTCCAATGGTCTCTCGTGTCGGTGCATTTACCGTAGCAACTTTTTATTTCCTAACAAGCAACGTGAAAGTCACGTACGCGCCGGGTTACGAAAGTCTCTGTACAATTCGGGAAAATTGAACTCTATGCGCCAATTCAGATATATAGCACCACGAACTTCCCGCTTAACGAAGGGTCACCGAATCGTGATGGAAACTGGTTCAAACGTGTGTAAAAGAGATTCCCATTGGTGCACGTTTGTGTACTTGAGATCAGTTGTAAAATTATTGTAAATATTTCTACACACAAAAATCGTGTGAAATATACGTCATGTTAAATCTCAGATAGACATTTCTCGTTTTCTTTCAAATCAAATGAAGATCAAAGAAATTTTGACTAATATTGGATATAAGGATATGTCATTAAAAAAATAATTACTAAATAATTATAAAAACGAACACTGTTTAATACTGAATATAATTATTAGATATTTATTACTAAATGTGTTTATTTAAGAGATTATTTAACTAACGTTCAAAAGTATCCGACAAATGTTTTGCGAGGCAAATAAACGTAATAATTTATATAATATTTATAGTTTTGTGATATTTTAATTAACATTTTACTGCTAATATTGTTATTCCGTAATGTTTTAATATTTACTGTTAGTAGCATTTCACAGAGAAAAATGTGTTTTTTGTAATAATAACAACGATGGAGAATAAATGCGTAACATAATTATGTGGTATCAGATTTCATTCTTCCGTTAAAACTTGTAATTCAGGCTTGTTTAAATATTTGTAAAAAATCTTGCGACGATTTGGTTCTTTTCATATAGATACTAGATTGAATTCCAGGAATTAAAAAGGTCTAAGATTTTATATTATTATTTGAAGATAATTCTTTTCTCTTTCTCTTTTTGTGACTATCTTCGAGACATATTGAGAATCGTTATGCTAAAATATTTATTTTATAATGGCATTTTCTTTTAACTAGCAAATAACGAAAAAATTTAAAGATGTTCTTGTGCACATATAACATCATTTTTGATATCTAGCTAATTCTTTCAGTCAGTTACATACAATACTAATCAAAAATTTGGTCTTTGCTTTTGAAAGAAAACGTGAAAAATCCATCTGGTAGGAAACTTTTGCACGCAAGATATAGGAAATAATACGTTAAGAAATTAGAAATGTTCTACGTTTGGTGTATGTACGTATTCAGTCGTAATGTTGTATTTCACAATTAATATCCATTAGAAAGGGAAGAAAAGAGAATTGAGAGACATTGTTTTCTCTTTTCTCTTATGAAATATATTATGTATAATATATATGTAAAAAATAATAAATAAAATAAATTTCTCTTAAGGAAATTTACTTAATAAATAATAAAAAATATAAAAACAGCTTATATAATTATAAAATATAATTTTTATTTCTATAACGTGCGTGTATAATATGTTTTATGAAAGAACGAAAAACGTATCGGGATTTTCTTTCTGTCTCTAGTAGATATCAATCCTGAAACACTGCAGCTGGATATCGTACCTTGTCGGACACGGGAAAGGGAAGAATGTCGTACAGGTTGAAAAGGGGAAGTACAACATCACGGAAGGATTTGTGGCTCCTGCTTGTGACAGCTTTGGAATCGTCCATCATGGTATTAAACAATTTATCCGTCGCGCTGCTATACGCTAGTAGCGCAGTGTCTCGTACGAGCGACATACGCTCGCGCGCAAAACGTTGATTGAAATTTATTGAAACGCGTTCTCTCCTACACTGCTAGATGCTCCCTTTAAAGAGCACTATTATTATTAGAAACATCTCAACAGAATATTAACAATCCGAAAAAATAATATAAGCTGAAATAATGTAATAAAAGTTCGAATGTTTCATGTAAAAAGTTAACGCATTGGAAATTGTAAAAATATATCTCTATAATGTTTTGATTGTAAAACAGTAATATATATATATATAGTAGAAAGATAAACAAAGATTTTTTTAAATGAGATTCATTCGGATTTCTTGTGTCTGGTGCATAAATGATGATATCCGATGTTCTCTTCCGCGTCATGTTAAATATTTGCACGAATCGAGCGAAATGCTTGCTACTATAATATATATCGGATATCGTTTATTTTGGACGCCAGCCAGATCTTAGCAGCTATAATTTACGGTAAGCCATTGCAGCATGTTTCTTTCCCCTCGGGGTTGTCTCCCGACGTGAATCTAGCAAGCAATGCTGTTAAAGAGCAACGATGGAGTTTCCCGACGCGAATTTTCCCCTCTTCGACAATGTCTATTCTCGGGAAAAGTCAGAGGCAGGTGGCAATGCTACGACATTGTGGAGAATGTATACGGGGACGGTGTTATGAAAAATTAAAATATGTCCCGTGAGTGTATTTACGGCGAGAACACCGCGGTTTTACGGTGCACCTAAGATCTCTCTATGTCATAAAAACAATATAAATTTCTACAATATTCGAATAAACGTGAGTTTATGTGAAAATAAATAGTAACATTGATACTAAATACAATGACATTTAAATTTATACAAAATTGTATACTTCGCATGTTTTGTCACCTAATCTAATTAACGATAATCATTGTATTATGTTCATTCAGTTACTTGTTTTATACAAGTAATCCAGGTATATGCTACCCTATAATCCAAAAGTTCAAAGTTGGTATTATATGTGATTTACGTATTATACATGTATATTGGTGTAGAGAAATGCAAAAGAGGGTAAGCTTACCGAGTTGATATAGTTGGTAAGAGACAAGCCGCCATCCCAGGGGTGCTCGAGCTCGCAGGAAATATTGGCGGGCCTTAAAGCATGGGATTGCTCCAAGGTACGTAATCCTACCGCGAACACCTGTACACTGTCATACATTAACGCTGGTTCGGCCTGAAAAAATATGAATCTCGTCTTTACCCATTGCTAATGCTCACCCGATAATACAAAGCATAACTTAAAAATATACGAATATTTCTAACGCTATCAATTAGAATTTTAATAAAATTATTTTGCTTCAGATCTTAAGACAGCTTGTGATCATCACTTTTAACAAAATAAAATGTTACTTAATTATTAAATTTAGTAAATGTAAGAGCAACATTCTGGAAGCGTTTGTTTAATGTAGCGCACTTAATTCAAAATTGTAAAATTACAATTATTTGAGATATAAATATTAATTATCGTAAATTAATATCGATTTTTAACTAAATGCACTGAACTTATGAATAAATACAATTAATTGAACATAAAGGGAGTGAAATGTGAGAATGCAAAAGGTTCTTCGAAAAGCAAACGGGCGCGAATTACGTGCAGCACGTAGCAAAATGCTCCGGTTATTAATTGTAACGCTATTAGTCACGTGTGTGCGTTTATTTCCATGAATTATGAAATTCATGGTACGTTGCCGTGTCGAAGTTACGCGCCAGTTCTAATCTAGTCGTCACGACGACGTCGCGTTCTCGCCGGAAACGTCGACGGAAAATGTAATATTCAGTGAGAAGAGACTACGGAAGATTTGATGGCGGCGTTGCATGAATTAATTTCATTCACACATTATTTATTCTTATCTCGTCGAAAATTTGTTATGTTTACTGTAAATTGCTTTTTTTTCTCTTTCCCTTTTCTTTCTCTTTAATTGTAGGTACAACAATCGGCGAAGAAAATCATTTTCAATAGAAAAATACATATACAGTTATAAAATAAATGCGCCATTATATTGATAATTTCACAACAGTTGTAAAGCTGCTTTTTCTACTGAACGCAGTCATTATCATAGCTAGGAAACAGTTATATACGGCGAAATCAATTATTATTGTTATTGTTAACGAATATAATAATACAAAAAAGGACTAAAGATGAGCAAAAATTAAAAATGCTATAAATTTAATTCAATCTTATTTATAAAAATAAATTATTAACTAAAAATTTAATATGTCCAATGCGTTATAAAAAAATGTTCTATTAACGTAACGCATTATAAAGCTAGCGTACGTTAAAAGCTATTATTATTGTCATTACTATATTATTATTATAACTATTTCGATTCTTCTTGAGAGATTTAAAAAAAGAAAATTTTATCTGACATCGTATCTATTACCGTTATTGGAAAAATAATTTTAATGTCTAGATCAGTGCATAACTTTTTTGTCAAAGAGTAAATTTAACGCAAGAACGGGTAACATGATCAAAGCAACGTTACGCTCATTATCTATTCGCTTTTCAGAGAAATTATTAGTATTTATTGTGTAGTAGTACATATTGAAATATCGATAAAATTGGAATACTAATAATGTCTGCTTTTCATTAAATATTATAACAATATGTATCTATTATTCTAGCGATTGGATTTCGTTATGCATTGTAATGCACGAATAATATATCAACTAATAAAAACGAATAATGATAATAAAGATGTACTTATTAATAAATAAATAAGTTGATTTAAAGATTATTGTAATTAAACCATTTGTAATAGTATTTGTGAAAATCAATAAACAAAAAGTTATTCGAAGTGTCATCAGTTTATTAAAAATTAGTGAAAAATGGCTAATGTTATAGTATATCTATCTGTATCTATTTACTATAACATTATTTGTTAGATATAAAGAACAATGTGTGGTAAAATGTTAATTCAATCTCTTGAGCTACAAGATATTTTTGTTATTTTTAACTTCGATGAGTCAAAATATAAATCTATCTATTTATGTGGTTGAATTGTTTAGTTTCAAAATAAACAATGTCAATATCAACGTATGTACTTAGTATCTAAATAAAAGATTGTAAAAGTAAAATTTAATACATTTGTTGAGTTAAATCGTTTAGCTTCATCTTTTTAGTTAAATTAATAATATATTGAGGAGCACTGACGATTTATATAGAAATATAATATTAAAAATAATTCAAATTGGATGCAATTTGACATAATAAATTTAACAATGTACTGATCATGAAACGTAAAAATGTCACTACAATCGGGATGATGCGGGAGAGATTGTTAGTTTCCAGAACATTTTTAGTAGGAGCTTCCGATGGTAGCGATCGATGCGGGGTAGTCACGTCGCGAATTGATTTCACTCGTATTTCAGAGTCGTGAAAGGATGCTAAGCACGACGCGAACATTCCGCCCGCGACCGCTTCTCGTCTTCATTTCCTACCCTTCCCCTGCACCTTCTTTACACCGCGCGTCCTGGAAGGCACGTATTTGAGGCGGACAAACACGCGGAAGCATCCAGGAAACGACCGGCGCCCGTGCTTAGTCTTGCGCGTCTCTTCATCACTCGCTATATGCTCGCTCTTTCTGTTACGAGTAGTTTGTGGAGGAGCTTTTACTGTTTGCTATGGGCTAAAGTGCGACGTGTCCCCGCACCTTCCTCGACGTTGATCCAATATTGTGTTTACGTTGATGACGCGCGAATTTACCGCGACTAATCAACTTTTCCAGATTTTAACCAACTCCAATGTTCTCGTTTCGGATTTTCTCAATTTCCCACGAATGAAAGATTTTTCATGGATCATTCCCGGCATTTTCTTTAAAGTCCTTAAAAATTCTGACTATTGTTCTCAACACTCTAAGCGATAAAATAAACGATAAAATGAAAGAATTCTAACAATATTTTGATTCTCAAACAGAATTTTTTTAAGTCTCCAGAATAAAATTTTTTCTTGGCAAAAAATACTCTTAATATAATTTATAAATTGTCGAGTAATGTATTTCAATATAAATAAAGAAACATTGTGAGCGCATGTAAGCGATATCTTCGTAATGTGATTTTTCAAACATCGAGAAGAGCTTTTCAATCTGCACACAGTAAAGCTTTCTCGCATCCCTAGAGAGTTAAGACTCCGACAGGTAACTGGTAGGTGACACTTTTATTATTTATGTTATGCTAAGATTATATTTGGCTTAACAGTGACTTTTTCAAAGCACTAGTTAACTTTATCAAAAGAAACTGTGGATAGAATTAATATTACTCAGAAATTACTATCAAAAATAAGATTCTATAACATTTCTAATTACTTTCACTGACTTTAATACGAATTTTAATAACACACTATTAATGCAAAGTGTTTCGCATCCTTAATAGTCAGACGTAATTATATTGCTATGTTTAAATAATTGAATTATTATCCTATTACTCTTGTTAATCATGGAATATTAAAGCTCGATGATTAGGTACGTAAAAAATTCACAATAAAATTTCGCAAACTATTATATAAGATGAGTAAAAAGTTACGCGTGCAATTTTATTCAATATTAGTTTGCAAATTATCGATGTCGAGCGCGTTGCGGTTTTACAATTACGCTAAAACCTCTGGTGATGTGCGGGGCAGTAATAATCCGGAATGAGGATTCGCCGGAAAGTTTGTTCATTCGCGTGAAAGTTGATGAACTGGCGCTAACGTAATTTATGCGGCAGGATACGCAAACGCACGAGTACGACGGTAGAATAAAGCGAGTGTGACTCAGGTGGGTGTGAGCATATCCTGCTTGTCTTACTTCTGCCTGAGGCAAACAATAAAGCTCTAGCAAACTATTTGTAGACGCAAATCTCGTCTCACGACGAACTTGAAATCTGTCTGAAATAGCTTACGGGTTAACTGCGGGTAGTTATGTTCTCGTTGCTTTTTTTTGTAGTAACAAGAGTATGTTGTTACAAGAGACCAGAAACTTGCAGATTTGCCTGGGAAATGACCGGATTCGTTACACACCGCGGTGAAAAATTCCTAAAATTCTTCCACTAGAAGCAAACATTCTTTAGTGAACAAGTAATCAATTTGTGGTCCGAAAATTCCTCCAAGAGTTCATTCGAAAGCAATATTATTTCTCTATCTTTTAATCGTCTAAGATTTTTTATTATATTTTAGATAGAATATTGAATTTATTTTAAATATTACATTATAATATAATGTTATTTTATAATTATAATATAACCATTAAGAAAATCTAGTCAATAATTGAGCTAAATTGAGATAACATCAATTTCGGTAGATATTAATGTTGGTGAAAATTAATGACTTTCTGGGTAACTGAAATCATTAGATACATATATCAATCAATTGATAGCCGATACTCTATGAAACTTCATTCATTATCAGTTATCACACGTTTCATACCGCGAAAATTCCGATCTATGATCATGAATGTAACGAATAATTCATGCTAGGTAAAATCGCATCCTTGTTGTAATGTAATTCAACACATACATATAGGTTTTTGTTTACTGAAATAATGTGCGACGCGTGCAATTGAGTTGTAGCCACAGGTTCGTATGTAAACAGCACACGAAATGACAGGTGTGCATGGAATAATGCGTCCGTCAGTAAAATGTTCGTTATATACAAGCGAATAAATTTCCGAATTTTTCCGATCGCTGCACTTATTCGCTGATCGGCCAGCGCGATGCGTCGAGGCGACGATGCGCGAGAGATCGATACAACTCGCGATTGCTTGCAGATTACTGAATCCAAAATAAGGTTGGCTGCGGTATTGTAATTTTATGGCAACGTGTATAAGTAATGTAAAAAGATTTGCGATATGTAAAACGAATATAAAGAGTATTCTTTCTAGATTATCGAGCAATCCTAATTAAATTCTTAAAAACATTTATATTTAACACCGACAGCCTCAATAGAACTGCTTGTCCATTTTTATAACGTGTCTTTAATCAAAATCGTACAAAATGTCCTGTTATTGAATTTGTATTTCGTTGTATCGTGACGATCACGTACAAAATATAGAAAAGTACAAAATTGCGCACGTCTATGCCAATTTGTACAAATACATTTTCCCAGTCGCCACACTCGGTCAGACAACATGGTCCAAAACGCAATGACGCGCAAACAGAATAACAACGATACGCAGGGCAATGGTACATACGGATATTTTTTGA